GTATATTTTCTTACAGACCATTGAAATTGTGCATAACATTGTACATTTAACACTCAAGGCTGCTGCCTAAGAAAATTTTCAGGGAGCCCTTTGGGCTCCTCCAATAAAAAGTTAGGAGCCCGAGCCCCATTTCTAGGAGCCCATTCACAAAAACAAAATTCATAATAACATGTCAACTTCTAGCACACGATAAGTGGTGAACTAATCGGTTGATCGATAAGCTTCAAATTTATTGTCTATCCAACTCATAAGGGCACAAATAGTAGCATAGTAAAGGTCAGCTAACATTCAAGGGCCACTAATAAGCTGGGAATTTTGCCGTTCGTTCACTAGAAGTTAGCATAAGAATCATAAGTTTTAGGTGCCCGTGTGGGGCTCCTTATTTAAAATTTTGGTGGCCGTGGGCAAATCGTAGGCATCTCTGGGGACCGGGCACCCGTTTGGCAGCAGCCTTGAACAATATCTAATGAGTTAATACTACCTAGTGAATTATTGCTTAAAAACTTTCACATAGGACCAAACATTTCCTAGTCACACATCTTCTAGGTACCACTGGTGGCAGAACCAGCCCTTGAGATATCAAATGAGGTTCACTCTGTATGACAATTTTACTGGCCCTGTAGGGCTGGCTTGGATCTAAAATGTAAGGGGTTTTGTGCCCCTCCCCTAGATCTGTGACAGACCCTTTGCCATCCCTTGTACTACATGTACTACAATCAAACCTCTTGTAAGCAAATACCCAAAACAGGGTTGTCACTAAGATTTCAAGTTGCCCGGTAAACACAACAAGTAGGAGGGGAATCAAACGGCTAGGGATTTCTTTTGGTTCCATTTTTCTTCTATTTTCCAATAAAAGTAGCTGGAGGCCACTCCCTTAGTAGCCAGAGAAAATCCCTGGCCCCCGGCTCTTAATGACAACCCTGCAAAATGTGAAAACTTAAAAGCTTATGAGAATTGAAGTACAGGGGGTCCCTTGACAGAAGAGGACTGAACACATATATTTATATTTTGTAAGAAAATTTGTTGCCTGCAATTTCTAGATCATGATATGTCTAGTTTCATGTTTTCACTACCAGTGCATCGCATTGTCTTTGTGGTGAAGGACATAGAATGAGCATAGAGATAAACTATGCATTAAATGGCCGCTTACAGGAGGATAAAAACAGAGGAAAATTCTAACGCCGCCATCCCAAAAAGTAGTCGCAGTCGCTTAAGAGAGGTGATCCTTTATGAGAGGTTCCAACTGTGATTTGACTGGGAAAATTTTAGTGTTTTGGATAAATGGTAAGGTGGACACACATAGGGGTTCGACTGGATATTATTTACCTGCCTCTTGTACAGAATGCAGTCCAAAGTGTTGTTGGCAGTGATTTGTAATGGTATCATACGGACTTTAGCCAACCTAACATTGTCTGTTAACCACTGGTGTCCTCCTTCCCTCAATTCCACTCCTGGTAAACTAACATTGAGAAGATTATTCTGGGATGAGATCCCGGCTGGGGAAATAAGACAAAATTTAATAGTTGCCTGCAATAAAGCTTTGTGTAACTTGTGATAATACAGCTGTGAACCAGTTACTACATCAGCCATGGAATAAGCTTTAGCCAGAAGGGTGTCCGGCTGTCCTATGGATTACCATTTTTGTCAAAGAAATACAAGGAAAATTCACCTAATCTCTTATAATTTTACGGGAAAACACGCATGCCTGCTGGACCACCAGTTTTCAATATCTGGCTAAAAGCCTGCTGTGGAATCAGCCTTATTCCACACAAAACTTAATGTGATCTTCGCGTTAAAAATTGAGGTCCCACCATTATTTGCACTGCTATGGCCTTCGAAATAATTAAATAATAATGACAAAAAGAATTGGAAATAGATTTCTCCCAACGAAAAAATGCAACCAGTGCTGGTACCTATCACAATAGTGGTAAATTCCATAATGGGTGACAGCATTGTGGTTAAGCATAACTTTGGATCTGGAGCCTGACTCAAGCCAGGGAAGGGTACCAATCCTTGGGTGCTTCGTGAAAATTGTTAAAAGTGCATCTAATAGGAAAGTGGAGTGGGGAAGTGATTTCACTTTTTACTGATCATTCACGTGATTTAGCAAGACACAAAAAGTTCAAGTTCAAAAATTTGTGGCCGAGATAAAGCCCCTGGACAGAATAGTGTGGAGCAGGTAAAAAAAGGTTGCAGACAGAGAACTAAGTTTGACCAGAAACTGAATATTAGGACTGCACTTGTCACAGGCAATTTACGTAATTAAACATTTTACCTGTATCAGACGAAGAATGAACCTTGCTAAATCCTCTAAGCAGTGGGATGTGACAGATTCCAAGAGTGTTATCTGATCTTACTTCCTTAACAATGCCATGGAAAGATATATTCTTGGTAACAAATTCTGTTGGGACATCTGACACTGCTCTGAACTGGCTAAACTGAATATCAGAAAAAAATATACATCGTATATCCAAATTCACAGTAATTTTGATGGCTGCACTTCAAAATTCTTTTTGATCTCATTATCTGTGAGTTTTTGAGCTATCCTGCTGTGTATGATCATTGAATCCCAATGAATTTTTAAAAGTGTCCATTGCTATAGTGTTTTGACTTTTCATTCATCCAGTCCGTTCGTGCGTTGACAGTTTTGATAGATGTGTGACATGTGAAAAGCGGAAGTCCCTTGTCTTTTCCAGTTTGTTCTAACAAAATAAAGTCGGGGAGATTCATTGAGATTTTGTGGGCGTTTTTAATAAACAATTATTTACCCACATTTGTTGGATATAAGATGATTATAGCCAACTCGTCGCAATGCACCTCGTTGGCTATCTACCATCTCATATCCAGCGCACACTCATGGAATAATTATTGTTCAATAAAATATATTTTCACACTGTAACAGAAAGCCACTCAGAAGATCAGTAATATGTTCTAAGGTCAAGAATACACACGTTTAATATACTTGACGAGATTCTAGTTGTCAATAACTAGGGTCCACTGGAGTTACTGGAAGTCTAGTCATGAAATACGTTATTCTTTATTAAAGTCATGCTCTTAGACAAGCACCCTATACAGAAAGTATATAAGGATACCTCTTTATTTAAGTCATGGCCTGAGACAAGCACACTACACAACATGATTGCGACAACATGCAGCGTGCAAAGAAAGCAGTGTCCTATAGCACATGGGACAAGTGGATTTTGCTATCAGGCAAGTGAATATTCTGTGAAGTTTTTTGGGGGGGAATTCAAACTAAAGATGCACTGTAACCAATGTTCATCAAAAAATTTTTTTCAGGCTGGTTAAAATGACTTTTGGGATAGTACATTTTAGCTACATCTTGCCTGAATGGCAACCTGTAAAGCTGACTTTCTTTCAGTTTGCACTCTGTGTTATGTATTGGAGGACCTACGTAAAACTATGCTTACCACATGCGTTCTTCTTGCAATGAGCAAAACTCCTGCTCCTGCTAATATCCAAGCCAAACTCTGCGAGACACAAACACATCACAATATAAACAGGGAACTAAATCGCACTACTTTTTTGAAGTGTTAGATCGGCTGGTGCACAATATATCAAGTGAATAGCATGTCCTGAGTTATGTTGTGACAAAGAACACAACAGTGATCTCAAGCCCTTACAGAGTAACACAATAAACTTTACACAATAGAATAGGACAATAGGGCATATACAGTATTGACTTGGTATATCAAGCATTACCCGTTAGTATACCTGCCAACTTTTTCTGAGATATAAGCGTGAGATTTTTATCCTGGGAGTGCTGGGATTTTTGAAGACGACATGATCATTTCCCGAGATTCCCGAAGAAGTCCGAAGTCTTCCGAAGACGTCCGAAGTCTGCCGAAGTCTGCCAAAGGCGAGCTCGCTCCCAGTGCTTTTCACTTCAAAAATCAGAGATCGCGAGGAAGGTATTGCCATTTATTCATTTTACACATGGTTTTCTTTCCTTACATGGGTCTGAGGTAACATATTTTTGGAAATTGTGTCGAGCAGGACGGCAACAACTCACATAAATCGAGCACACCATAAATCGAGCGAAACCGTATCACAGCAAACCCATACGTCTCCAGCCCCTCATAACAAGTAAAAAGAAACATATATTTTGTCCATTTGTCCTATTAAAACAGGATTCTAAAAATATTCAGATTCACATATAGGGAAAGTGATTTGGGTCCATTCTAGTCATTTTTGGGCAACTTGCATCAATCAAATTCCCCATTTGGACCCCATATGTAACACCATTTTGGCCCCCTTTTGACCCCGCCCAGGATCTTGTTGTCTAGTTTTACTGTTGTGGCCTTGTAAGCCTTTTTCAAAAATACCATAATACTCTCTTTTGTCTCTCCAATATTTGCATAAACATTGTTTTCAATTTCTCTTGGGACTTAAGCTTTATTTTAACCACCCCAAGATTAATTGAAAACAATGCTTATGCAAAATTTTGGGGACAAGAAAGAGTATTATGGTACTTGTAAAAAAAGGCCTACAGAACTTGTTCCCAGATTTCTGAGCCTAAGACAAGCAAGTTACTTTTGCCATAAAATCTTTTGCTGCCAATTAGGTTTCAAGCTTTCCACAGCTTTCGTTCATCCAAACAGCAGCTGCAAACAACTGGCATGTAAGAAGACTGATCATAAATGGCTTACCCTGAAAACTCGTAAATTATTGTCCACGAAATTAGTGAATCCTGTCAAGATGTCATCTTCACTATCTTTTTCATCTTCATCCTCCATGCTTTAAAAAATGAACGGTCAATTCTTGCATTTGTTTGTAGGACACGATCCGTCCGCCATGTTTTATTTTCCTTCCGATTACTTAACGACCATTGCCGATGAAACAGGCGGGAAAAGATCCGTCTTCGGTTATCCTACGAATACCAAATAAGGTAATGATCGCGCACGTGTTCTTCCGTACATGACATCATAATCGAAAAGTGACGTTCGGGAAACGTTTGAAGGAAGATCTAGCAAAAATCCAAAATGGCAGCAGTCGCCGGTAAAGCAGAGTACGGAGATGTGATAATTTCCTTAGAAAACTGTATTTTAAGCCAAGAACACATAGAAAATACACCTTCAATTAAAGATGGATTAGATAGGGAAGTAGAAATTGATTTGCGAATCGTCAGTTGCGAGTATATTCAAATGGCGGGCATCTTGCTCAAACTTCCTCAGGTAAGTTGATTCTGGTTTTCGTTGTTAAAAACTTTCCTGTATTGTGAATGTTTAGCTGAATATGTTTGCTTTGGAACCTTCAGGTAGCTATGGCTACAGCGCAAGTGTTGTTTCAACGCTTTTACTACAGTAAGTCGCTTGTTAAACACGATGCTGAGGTAAGCACATCTCTGCAAATATTATTCAACAAGAAGTAAGAAATTTTAGCTTAACCTTTTTATACCCTTTCATTTTTCCTTTACTTCCGGTCTAAAGGTTTGGGCACAGAGCCTCCTTTTTTGGCTTTTAACCAGTTAAGGTTTTGTAGAACTTTTTAAATCTATTTTTCTCTTCTTTGTTGTACAAAGATGTCAAATTATTCGCAAAGTAAAAGCTGCTTTTTAATGAGCGTGTATTCAAGCACGTGGAAGATGTGTTCTTTTTAGTTTAAATTGCTAAATGGTTTCATTTTTCTCCCTCAAAACACTTTTGCTTCAAATTTTCGGTCCCTACAGTGTATTTTAGTCACTTTATTCAGTAATAAAACCAACGAGCTAACTTGTCAAACTCTTTTTGAATTACCCTCTTCCCATAAATTGCATTTCAGATTTATGCTATGGCGAGCATATTTCTTGCTGCAAAAATCGAGGAATACCCAAGAAGAATTCGGGATGTGATTAACGTCTTTCATCATATTAAACAGAAAAGAAACGGAAGGTAAATATTTGAACTTTAGTTTGCAATGAGATGAAACTTAAAAGTTCTCTTTGAAGAAGTGCAGTTTCTTGCTGCTGCACTTTTATGGAACTTCAAGAGTACAATCTCTTCAAAATTTCCAGGACTAAATGGTTCGGCGAATTGGTAAACTAAACCAAAGGCTGAAACAGTTTGTTCTTAGACTTAATCTTAGTCTGTGCCACAGAAGGAAAGTAAACATCTGTTTAAGTCCGTCTGCAAAACAGCTCTGAAATACTTGTTCTGGTTTCCCACCCTTGTACCAGGATTTGAGTATGCACCATGATTCGCCCTATAAAAAATCCCATCATTGCTGTGCCAATCAGGTTGAAGATATGAAACGCACTTCCCAGCATTTCTGAGTATTTTAATGTCATTCAATTAACACCAGCAGTAATTTTGTAAGAGCAAAATTTGAAAGATTGAAATACCTGAAAATGTTTGGCTGGGAAATTAGTTGAAATATTTAACCGACGGACATTAACTTTTAAGAGTCATCGTGTTAGTGAAATAAAATTTAACCCCTTGTGACAAAGTCAAATATACTGCTTGTCAACAAGATGTCTATTAGTTTTAAGGTATGTACAAGGAGCAAGGTTTTAGCCAGAAGGGTGCCCATCTCTTCTATGGACGGCCATTTTTGGAAGAAATTCAAGGGAAATTCACTTAATCTCATGATTTTAAGGGAAAACATGCCTTCTGGATGGTCAGTTTTCAATGTCTGGCTAAAAACCTGACAAGGAAAGTATCTCTGCTAAGACATATTTGTATCGGCTTTAGTTAAGACACTGGCCAATTTCTGTCATTACTCTGATTAGGGAAAAATTGCAAAATATGGTCCATGATTTTCTGCGAAATTTAATACTCCCGAAGTTAAGGGAGAATAAGGTACAACACCTTATTGGTAATCGTGTTGAGTTGACTTATGGAACTGAGTTAAAACTTTTTAACCTGTTGATGTTGGGGTAGGGAGAAGGAAGTTGTCTGACAGTGACAAAATAGAACATTAACAGAGAAGCTGTTAAGTTGCCAGGTAGATACAACTAGTAGGCAGGGAATCAAACAGCTGGCATTTTTTTTGGTTCTATATATCTTCTAATTTCCCACAATAGTAGCCAGGGGTCACATTCATATTAGCCAGAAGAATTCCTTAGCCCCCCAGTCCTAAATGATAGCCCAGTTATTATATAGGCCCTTTGCAGGTAGCCATTTACTTGGTACAAAACTGCCATGCTGGAGAGCGAAAGGTGCACTGGAACAAGTCAAACAAAGGAAATTACCATTTAAAATTATGTAAGCTTTTTTTTTGTCTTGTCTCAGTGTGACTTTTGCTCTCCAGCATGGTGGTTTTCTACCTCGCAAATGGCTAGCTGTAAAGGGCCTATTGGGACAGATTTGCCTCCAAATGTGTATTGCATGAATTGAAAATAGTCCTCCTAGTCTTAGTCAAACCTCTTTAACATGGACACCAAAGGGTCAGAATCTGCTTTACAGAGGTGTTCGTATTATAGCGGTAGGGAATGTATGTTTTTTGGCATTTCTGGGGCCAAACGAACTGTCCTTAATAGAGAGGTGTCTGTATTATAGAGGTGTCTTTAAGGAGAGGTTAGACTGTACTGGTAATGAATAGTCTGTAAAAAAGCCATGTGCTTGCCAGCTAAATAATTCATTGTGCAGTGACTTCTAATTGGCGTGTTCACTTCTTGTCACTGTTTGTTACGTGCTATAAGTGCTTTATAGCATGTAAGGTTGGCTCAGCAGCTACAGGCAAAATTAAAACTTTTACAGACACGATTCTAGGACTATTGTTATTTCTTGCTGAGATTAAGCACATAAATTTTGTAATGAGATTACCATAAGATGAAATTTTAAAAATACCATTTGTTTGAAAATTATGCAATTTTGTGACAATTCAATAAATTATTGAATGGTTACATAGTAAAAGTGAGAGATTCATGTTTGTATTTTCCCACATTGTGATTTTCAATGTTTAATACTACCAACTATTAAAAAGTATTCATTACTAGTAAAACTCAATCAACCATAAACCACTTATGAATGGATAGAAATAGCAAAGAAATTAATTTGGCTTAACCAAAATTTGAAAATTATCATATGTCAAAACAGAGCACGTTTTCTGCAATATGATAAAATAACTGAGCATAATGTCCTATTTAACCTTTTTAAAAAGCCCTAAGAACAATCAGTATCAAATTCCTCCCGATTACAACCCATGCTTTATAAAACATTTAAAAAAAGAGGGATAGCAGGTATCAAACCCAGTTCCTTCAGCTCCAAAGGTTACTCATTTCTGCATGTACGAGAACAATGGAAATGACCTTACCATCATTCATTCTTATGCCGATGATAGCATAGAGCATAAAAAATGCAGGCTTACCCCTGCAAAAGACCTTTCATGACCCCAATCTTGTGTTTAGTGATCAAGATAATTTCTCCTTGAAATAACATTGCACAACCAATCAGAGAGGCCAAGAACACCTCCCTGTACTCTGCGTTAATGACACTGAAGGTACAAGAAAAGAGAACTTGTATTTTGCTACTAAGGGGAAAAGGGTTAATCAGATGGGATTAGTGCAGACCCTTTCAGAAACAAATTGCTGCAAAATAGGTTTACTTTCAAAGTAATAGGAACATGTCTAATGCACTGTTTTGGCATATGAGCTTGTAAGAAATTGTAAAAATAATTATGAAAGAATTGCTTTGTGAAGTATGGCATTTTTTCTGACTACCACCAACTGTGAGAAGCAATAATTTGGTCTGGTTCATAGTGAATGTTCTTTAGTACGAAATGTGGGAATTATTTCTTAGAATGTGGTTTTATGGGAAACTTGTTCCTCTACAAGATATCCGATTTCTTAACTTTCTGAGTGTGTTAATGCAGTATTTTGTTGTTTTCATTTTACTTGTTGTGGGCATTGTTTTCTTAAGTTCTCTTTTAAGCGTGCTTTCATTCGGAGACTTTTAATAGGTGTTAACCCTTTCAGTCCCAACAGTGAGCAACAGCAATTTTCTCCTAACAATGTCCATACATTGTCAAGAGATGAGGTTGTGAGAATATAAAAATGATCACGAAAGAGAAAATGCCTTGATGTTTTATGAAATTCTCTCAACTAATTCTTAAAAGGAAATGTATGGAGATCAGTTTGGAGAATTTGTATGTGGATATTGGGGTTTAAAAGGTTAAGTCAAGTCAGCAACTGCCCTAAGCGTGCAAATATACACAGGCCATGTTTGTCTTAGCTACTTTGCATGGTACTTCATACATTGCTTACATTGAGTACCGTCTACCCTCTCAAGTTTCATTTAAGATGTGATATTCTTTTCAGGAATCAGTGGAATGTAGAACATTTAATTGACTTGATTTTTTTCTTTCTCTCTCCGTGCTGTCTTGCTAACTCCAGCAGTCTACTACCTCCTTACCAACCAATGCACCAATCCTCCGTGTTGCTCTAAACCAGCTCTGATTGGACTGGTGTAACCATGGCAACATTGGACGCAAGTGGTGCTTCTCCCATTGGTCAACTGTCTCCGTTAAATGAAGACAAGCTGGGCTCATGAAACAGTAAATCTTATTACAATTTGTTTATAATTTGGTAAGAATATATCTTCCAGGTAGTCAAAAATTGACAGCTGTTTGTAGTTTGTAAGAACATTCACCAAAAATGCTCCATTGGTAGTTATGTAAATGCAAGGTTAAACTTGTATATATTTCATAAGTTCTTCTCAACATGGTCTTCTGTTTCTTTTTTTAAGAATAAAGCATGTTGGAGCTTTTACATAGTGACCCTGTCGCACAGTTAACTAACATCAAGAGTAATATTTTTACACAAAATTTGGAGTTGATGAACAGACCAACCAAATGTCGTATTTTAAAGATGATGGAAAACCACGATGTTTAGGTGTGGCACATGTTTTGAAATGTCAAGTTGTTCAGAAGGAAGTTACAGAAGCAGTTATATTTTGTTGTAAACTGCATATTGTTCAAGAAATATAAATAGAAGTTGAAGAATTTCTGTGTCGTAAAACTGTAACTAGTACAATGTTAGTGATGTCAAGAACTGCAACTGTGTCTTTTGGAAGTTGTTGCTGTTCTCAGAGTTATCCCATTTGAGGGACTGGTGTAATTGTGCCTAAAGAAAGAGGACAAAAAACGCAAGGATCTGCAAGTCTTCCATGGACAAAATCTGTAAAGAACTTAGAACTGGTGTGAAGCAAATGGTGGATGTGATCTATACCATGTGAGGCTGAGGAAGGTCATGGATCCATGGTTGGAGGAGACTGATGGAAAATTGTTAATTGTCACCATTTGGGAAAGCTCACTCTTGGCTGTGACGTGTACAGTTGCAAGTTATAAATGGGGCTGCAAGATTGGAAAAGAAGAATTTGTGTGTGAATACCTTTGACACTCTAATAATGTTACAAAGATCATGGAGTTTCCCTGCAAGATACCAGTAAGGTGAGACATTGTTTATGTATAGTTATTACTTTTAAAGGTACGCTAAAACAGGCAACAAAAATGAGCAACTTGCTTTGCAACATTGCAGCAAAACAAGTTGAAAAGTGATGTTGCACATTTTACCACCCACATTCAAACCTGTTAACAACCTGATTTGTTGCAAAGCAGGTTTGATGTGGGTGGTTAAATGTGCAACATCGCTATTCGACTCAATTTGCTGCAATGTTTTGTGTGGCCCGTTTTACTGTACCTTAAGCCTTTTGTATTTTTATAGTGTAAACACAAGTAAAAGCAACATTTAATGCTGTTTTAAAAATCATAACCAGTTTCAGGACAAAATGCTCTTATTACTGCGACTGCACATGTTGCTTTTACTTAATTTGCATCATCGGCAGAAATCCAGCTTCGCAGCAAGATTACAGTAATTTTAATAATAATAGTGTAATATAATAATAAATTGTTATTTGTAGTATTTGAACCTCCTTTACCAAGGCTGTAGGGGGGTCATGTAGACCATCTGAGGGGTCACCAAGACCATGTGCTAAGTTTTTTGTCATATTTGACTTAATACCTATATGTCATCTGCGGGTCAGGAAGCCTTCTTTGTCGGGTCATAGACCTGCGACGCCTCCTCTCTTATCTGGAACACTGAGCCTAGGGTGCTCGCAGCCTGTTCAATCCAGGGTGCCCAGCATATGAATTGTATGAAAAAAGTAAGATTTCGTAGTTGACCAAGGTCAAAAGTTAGGCACCAGGGGTCCCTGGGGGTTGCTAGAGCACAGCCTTGTTTACAATACAACACTTCACTACATAAGGTCTAATGGGTATTGGTAAATCAAGGGAAATATTCCATTCTGGCCCAGGTCATCTGTTGTTTGTTGCTGGTGAGAGGTGTAATTCTACATTCTAAAGGTCAAAGTAAGCCCTGTGTTACTTAATATTAATCAAGGGTTTTGTCACCAATTTTCTCTGCTTTGTCAAAGCCAATTTATGATACAACTTTTGATATGAGCCGTTGACATCAGCTTTTTCATGTAAATTAAGCCTACAAGTGACTTGTGATTGTCATTTGCAACAGAACAGTCGTAATTGAACTGTTTTAATTGACTAAAATTGTGATTACATTGAAACAATAGAAATATTTGGTTTCAGGAGGTGTTTGTAAGTGGCAGTTCAATTGTGTGCTGCTTCCTGCTTAGCATTTGTAATATGACCGCCATGATATTTGCACATCATGTTCTCCCAGTGCTTCTCAGCAGAGTTCACAAGGGGCCTTTGTTTAAGGGTGGCAAGTTCATTGCTGACAATATGTTTTCTGCCACGTGTCACCCTTGTGAAAAAAAAGCCTTTACATTACTTTACTGTTACCTAAGTTGAGCCTGCTGTCAAGGCATATTGCTTTTTAACAATTTGTTCAAATCTAACATACATTTCCACAAAACAATGTGTTTATTTCAAACTGTTCAGTAAGTGTTGTCTCTTTGAGATGGAGCCATATGAGTTGAGTCACTCAGCACAAAAAGAGATGATCAGATTTTCTTTTAATATAGTATCTTCCAAGCCAAGTATCAAAGATGGTTTTTAGGTTTTGTGGTGATGTGGTCCATTTTCTAATCTAATTTGCCATTGCTTTGATCTCCTCCTTTTTTAGGGGGAGGGGATTGTAAAACACTCTTCGCAAAACCTCAAATTTTGACTGGTAATTGTGACAAGCAACCTATCAGCTGTTTTTTTTTTGTCCTTGCTGCACTTCAAATTCGTAAAGAATACTTTTTACAATATATAACAATATCCTCTTAGCGCTCTGTTGGGCGCAAGTCCTCCAGACTTCTTTTCGCATAAGCTCTTGCTTGATCCCTGGCTTGTTCCAAGGGTATAAAATGGAGAATTCCACAAAATGGAGAGCATCTAGGGGGAATAAATGTTGAGGGGGAGAGGAGGGAGTGCCTGTTGAATTTGCTTTCAAAGGCTCATTCCATCCACTTTGTCAGATTGTAATCTGACCTTAGTTAGGGTCTTGAAAGTTGTCAGTCAAGACAAGGTGACCGACTTACTTTTATTTTACTATGTTTGTATTTTATTTCTGTTTGAAGCCAATTAATAATTATTGTAGAAGAGAGATTGCACCACAAAGCGATTGTTTTTCTGTTTTTTTGCGAATAAGGTAATGCATTCACCATAAAAATTATTGCTTTCTCAATACGTTTCAGATGAACTGACATATAATCTCTTCCTGTCATATTTTTGGTCATGGATGTTAGAGTGTTGACAACAACTGTCAGAATATACAGGGTGTCCCAAAAGTTTGTTCCTCTACTTTATAAGTTTGTATTTTAGTACGATTGGACTTGGTTATGGTAAGCAAATCATTGCTGCGGAGCGACCGAAGGGAGCGAGCAGCAACATAATCAGGATTTAAAGGAAATATATAAGGGGTGACGAATTCTCGAATTCATCACTTTTTACCATAATGCATTGCATTTAACCACACTTTTTACCACAATGCATTGCATTTAACCAGAGTGCATTGCGCCACGAACAAATCAAATAAAAGTTCGGTGGGTGAGAGAGTGCATCGTTCGCTGCTCAGACTTTGAGTTTTCTTTGTGGCAAATTTTCTACAGCACGGTTAGAGGTCTTACCAAATTTTAAGACACGCAGGAGTCTTTCAGATGAGTACGATGGTCAACTTGGGGATTGGATTTCAATTCAAGAGCCTTTTTTTAAAAAGTGTTAAACCTGACGAGAAGATGAGCATTCGCTCTTTGACTCCGCAACACGGGGGATATACAAATTCCAGCTTGCTAGAAGGTGATGTGAAAGTGAGAAAATGTCATGCAATGCTATTCTTACGAAACTGTATGAGCCGAAAATGGATGTGATTTTGACCATTCGCTTGAAAATAACAGCGGAAATCGAGAAAACAAAACATATGTTTTGTCTCCTACTTTGCAGAGGAGGACTTGTATCAGCGTTTTGAAAAGCATAATTATGTTTTTTCATTCAGTTATTGCCATGGAATATGCATTTACATTGTTTTTTCACTGTCAATAGCTCAGTTAATGCGGCTGGCGATCATCTTGCTGGCGGAAGTTTCATGGAAAAGGAATAGAATGAAAGATTTTTCCTAAAGACTACGTAGTAAGTCTCTGTGGTGTAGTGGTTAAGTGTAGTCGCGTCGAGTCGAAGGTGCCGGGTTCGAGTCCTCCTGAATTATTTATTCCTTGTTTCTTTTTTTTTTCCGTTTTTTTGTGTTGTTGTTTTCTATAAATATATAGCTAAATAACTGTTACTTAATAAAATGCAACAAACAGCAAGAAAAGTATTTTATTTCCAGAGAAAATATCGTGCACCGTATATTAAATATATGGATAAACGATCTGAATTTCTATTATTTCCTACAATTTACTGTGGGAAAACCAGAGTTGATAACCACTTGATCATTTTCTAAACAACGTTCCCACGAGTTCTGTCTATAGACTGATAGTAATTATTCTAGTACTTTCCAACATGTAAATAGGACGTTCAATGTCATTTTTGATTCTTTTAAGTCTCACTGCCTAACTAATGCCAGTATCAACAGAATGTGCCGCAGCATTACTATCTTTTAGATACCGTAGTTTAAACAAAAGTTGTGTCTTTCAATGTAAATCACTGTTTTCATACTTGTTGTGCCATCTTTTGTCTTGAATATTCGATTTGTGTACTTCCATACCAAAGATGCACGTGCGCGAGTATATAGTATATACTTTTGGGACACTGTGCACTAGTCATAAGGTATACCAGAAAAAACTTTTATTTAAAGGTTTTTAAAGTGTTCTCCTTATACCCTCCCCCCTCCTTGTTATCCACACTTTTCTTTGTGCTGTCTCCACCATCGATATTCCCGAAGCAAGCTACTTGATCCCATGACCCTCATCCAGCCTCTGTTCTTTCCTTTGCTACCGTCCTGTGCCACATTATCCTAGGGTGCTTAACTTTTCCCTTTTCATCCCGGGTTCACTGTGACACAGAGATGTCCTCTTTGCATTTTATACACGGCACATTTCCACGCCACTTTCAGCATCTTATTTTAGCATTGTGTTCTTAATTTCTTAATTTCTTAATTCCTATATTCTTTTTTTTTCTGTTTTTCATTTTTAATTTATTTGTTAATTGATTTATTCTTTTTAAACTTATTTTAGTGTCCCCACTTAGTGGTTATATACCGCTATTACAGTTTTGACACTTTAATAAAGTTATGATCATCATCATCATCATCATCTCCTCTTCACTGCTATACTATCCTTTCACATCCACATAACTTGTTCAACTCATTATTAGACACCACATACAGCCAATAGGTACTCATAATCCTCTTGAGGCACTTGCATTGGAACAACTCCATCCTTATGTCTTGCAAAATCATGTGCAGAAATTTGGGAGTCTACAGTTGTTGATCTTGATATTATGGGCCAAGACTGTCACTAAGGGCTGGGGGCCAGGGATTTCCCGCGGCCACTATTAACAGGAATTCTGACTATTTTCATAGGAAATAAAAGGAGAGTAAAGCAGAAGAACTTTCTCGCTGTTAAATTGTCCGCCTACTATTTCACTGTCCCTGCAGCTAAAAAGCATAGTGACAGCCCTGTGGCCTACAGGTTTTGCCCCATTTTTTAGGCCAAACTGAGGACCAAAAACATTTTTTTTGAGTCCTTCCCCCTCCCTTATCTCAAGGTCTGGATCTGGCACTTATCATAATATTCTTATTTCATTGTGTATCAAGCAGAGGGGAACTGCTTGACCAAAAACTACTGACTGAAGTCTGTGAGATCAGCAATGACCCAGATGAAAATGAGAGAGCTTTATTTTTCATTTATTCTTAGTGCATCTACTTCAGTCTGTTACTCTGTTAATTACAGTTTACAGTAACACTGACCTCAAACACCGGCACCCAGACTGAAAACTAAGATAGTCAGAAGTGAATTGACACATACATGTGTTATTGCACATGCCTTAGGGCCTTGATGGAACGAAAGTTCCCTCATATGTAGAGCTCTGTTGACTTTAGGAGTCTTCAGGAACTGGAGGATAATTTGCAAGTATGATTATGAACACTAAACTTGGAAAGACATTCTGCATCATCTGTTAAATTTGACGGGGTCAAACGAGAAATAATTGCAGGGAAAATCAAGACTTGTTTACCTGTTAAAGTCATGAAGACTGAAAACCTCTTCATCATCGAACAAGTCTGCATAGCACCTTAGAATAAATTCACTAATTTCTTTAAACAATGTGATCCTTTAAACTTCGTCTTTGTTCTAGCATAGTTATTAGAGAAGACTTGTTATGAAAGACAAACATCAAACGTAAAAACAGTGTTGCTGCAGTTTATGTTGGAAGCTCCCTGAAGGTGCACAATCCTTTGTTTTCTGTTGGCAAATTGTGGTGGAATAAACTAATGGGATGTGTTTATTGATCAAAAATATCAAAATGTTAGGAATGCTTTTGAATGTTGTGCACCATCAGGTCCACAAAAACATAAAACAAGAGTCTGGTGGGTTTCATAACCATTCCAGCCCATTAACTATGGTTCTAGGTTATAAACCCATGCTTAAAGTTACATTTTTTGTGCCGAAAGCAAAGTTTTATGTCGTCTCACCCCAGTCTGTTAGGGACTCATTTGTCAATTTTTTTTGTTTTTTGTCTTAGATGAATCTTCTTAAGGTCCCCAATATCTTGTGTATGAACTGCATCTTTTTGCTTCAATCTTTCTAGTTTCCTCATAATCAAGGGAGTGATTCATCTCAACTAGGACATAACTTAGGATACTAAGTTTGCATTTTATTTTAGTTCTGACATAAAGTTGTGGTATTCATTAAAAATGCCAGCGGTGGGCAGAAGTTTAAGTTTAAGTATTAAACATTCAAAAGCTCATTAATAAGTCATAAAGAAAAAACAAAAGAAATTAATGTTTACGGCTAAACTTAATGTCCAAATATTAGTGCAGATTAGAATGAGTTGATCTATATGAGAGATTTTGAAGCTGTTAAAAAAACTTGCAGTCACATATTATCAGGTATGAAATCTCCTGGCTTTGCCTCGACTCTTCTAACCTGATAATACACTCCTGTTCGTTTTTTAAACAGTACATATAAATTAACGTAATGCACTATAAAGATAACTGAATAGATCTTTTTACCGGTTTCTAGTTTAGTATTAGAAATATGGTCTTTCACTGTATATTTTTGGGAAAAAGGCGATCATTAGTACATCCAAACACGGCACAAGGATTTTTTTTCCCATTACAATCTTATTCTAAGAAACTTTCAGAAAAAGTGTCCCGAAAAGCACTCGAAAATACAAACAAAATGTGCTCATGCCCCCTGGGCATCCTATAATACCCCTTAAATCGAATTAATTCAATATGGCCGCCGTATCGGTAAAAAGGTCCATTAAGTATGGGTTATAATTATGTTAAGGGCCTATTATCATATTTTTTGTGGTCGTTACTAGGGAAAGTCTCTAAGCTGTAAATTAAAATTACAGCAAAAATATGAGACAAAATTTGAACAGTGTTCCCTTGGTGACTGCTTTCCTCTGCTTGTGTGTCATCAGGACAAGCTTACTGTCACATGACCCAGCACTATGTGATATCTTAAAGGATAGTGCCTCTGGCTGAAGTGGCCAGTAAAGTTATAAGCTATCTATTCTATGGTAAGGTTGTCTAGAACTGTTGATCAAGTCACTGACTAATTTGTTAAGTCGACTACTTACTTTGAAAGTCTTTAGATTGTAACGCTGGCAGTCATCCAAAGTTTCTTCTTTAAAAATATGAGGGGGAAAACTTCTCTTACTGTTTAACTTTTTATACCACATAAATAAAGAAAAGCAAATTCTGTCTTTATATTGGCAGAAATAATAGCCGCTATGCTTGAATTTTTTTTAGTACCAGATGACAGATCACCTGTTGTAACAATGAGGCTTTCAATAACTTTACCTGAGAATAACAGGTTTTTGGGTTGGCTTTGCAACTATGTGCTTTTATTACATCTGAAACTTTGGAAAACTCTTGCACCCTGTCCTTGATCATTGTTATGGGAATGTGAAGTTTTGTTATGATTTCAGTTGTGCTAGTGGAAGGATTGTGATGGTGATTGTTATAAAGTTAACTCTTTTCAAGTTATTTATTTAATATGGCCACTTCTTTTGGCATAAGAACATGTGCTTTCACTTATATGAATATCCAGAGAAACAAACATTCTGTAGTTGGCAAGCATTTCATTTCCATGGTGTAAAGTGGGTGAACCTTGATTCAAACTTCAAAATCCTCAAGAAATGTGGAGGGAATTTTTGAAATGTTAAAATAATTGTAAGAGCTAAATGACCTACATTCAACAATCAAGCCAACTCCATGACAGCAAAACTCTGTTTAATTGACATTTTCCCATTTTCATTTCACACCTTGAGCTCGTAACTTACAATGAGATGATTTGTCACTCAAAAGTGTAAACTTGTAGAGAAAATCCTAGGATGTTACCATTTAAATGAAACCTTTGACTGAACTTTTGTGAAGTACTATTATTACTATTATTATCTTAGGATTTTACATTCTTTCTTTGAATATTATGAGCAGTTAAAAGGTTTGATTCCGATGCTGCACCCTTATAATTATGACAGTGAGTAGGGCATCTGACTTCAGGGCACGAAATTGTGCCTGATACAATCGCCAATGCGTCTAAGTTTACCATGCTGGTGACCAAGATTCAAAAGTTAGTTGCCACGTTGGCAACCAGAACTCTTCAGGTTCTGTACATCCTACTTTTATGTATTGGGTGATTAAATAAAGCTTTAAGGTAGATGAATTGGTATGAATGACTAATTGTCATGAACTCTACAGAGTGAACATGTCAAGGTTGACCATCTGTTATTTTCCAAAAGTTATGTTCTCAGGGTTGTCACTAAGATTTCAAGTTGCTGGGTAAATACAACAAGTAGGCGGGGAATCAAACAGCTAGCGATTTCTTTTGGTTCTATTTTTCTTCTATTTTCCAAAAAAAGTAGCCGGGGAAAATCTCCAACCCCCAGCTCTTAATGACAACCCTGTGTTCTATTTTTTGGATTGAAATATCCCTTTTGTTAAAAAAGCGTATTGGGGGCTGACAATATTCCATACTTTTCTGACTCCACGTGCTCTCACTTAGCTTTATTATGAAGTGAATTCCAGTGTTTCAGTTGTTGGCAGAAATTGCAGTTAGTGTTGTTTAATGTTGGTAAGGTACATTTAATGCTGGAACACTAAATCCATTAAGCAATGGCTTGAAAATAAAATAGCGTTAAATATAGTTCAGATAACTTGGGTAGATGCTGAAACAAACAAAAAAGGACCTGTTAATTTCATTCTGGCAGTTGCTGGAAAAATGCAACTTGTTACTATTAATTTTGTAGTTGTTGTAAAGTAGTGTTCCACTATGTTTGTTTACCAAGGAGCCTCTGATTTGGATATGTTTGTATGATTACTTATCCTGATGAAGTCATTATGTGCTGTGATGTTTTCATCCTTGGCTACTAAATGAATTAGATTTGAGGCATGAAAGATCTACTGCAAATATATTGAAATATTTATGGAGATTTGATAAGTTGATATTTATGAAAGGGACGTGTCTTGTTTTTCGGATTGTGATGGCAGGTCGCATTATGTAGTCCAGTAATTTGTATAGTTCATATTAGAAACAATATTTTAGGGAATTGTCAACTTAAGTTTCTGAAATTCAGTTTGGAAGATTTTTATGATTTTAAGCTGACTTCCTGGCATACATGTGTACACCTGTATGTGGCTGATATTACAGTGCACACGTAATATATGCCAGTCTTTGAGATAAGTGGACATCCATGATCATCAAATTGGATGGTCTGTGATGGAAAACAGAATAAATCCAACAAATGATAAACTTACTATAAAAGTATCAGGAGTTGGCAGTTCTGTTAACTGTTATCAGACCTTTAAAGATCTTTATAATAAAAAATAAAATTGAATTAGAATTTCCAGGTCCATGAAGGTTGAAGCCCAGATAGCTACAATCCTGGTTACTGTAATCAGAGCATTTAAGTTGTCATGGTGATTAGCCTTGGATTAGTGTCAATCATCCTCAGAACATTTTGGCTGTATTGTAAATATGTCCTTCCTTCCCCCACCTCAATTAGTTTATAAGCTCTTTGTGGGTGGAAAAACTCATGAAATCAGTTGAATTTTGAATTTGTTATTGTCGTTGCTGGCTATAAACAGAAGAATCTGTCAACTTTCTCTTGAACCACTACCAATGTTCACTTTCCATTTAGGTTTACAGGGAACAAAAAGCAGCCACTGTTGGTTTCTGCAGAGTATAACGTCTTGTGTACAAAATAGCCTGGTCCCTGATGGCTATTTTCCTGTAACAAACTTCTTTCCAGACATTTTCCTGTTTCCTTGAAATGTGATTGGTCATAAAAGCCTCTTCCGTTCTGAGATATTTTTAAGTTGAGAAAGCCTATTAAACCTAGAAGTTGCTTCAAAAAGTCAGTTTATTCAGGAACTAGACTTGTTATTTTCTGTAACATGACTAGACATGTTGTATTAAACATTTTAAGTTAAGATCTTTACTCTTTTCCCTTTTTTTTTTTTGCCCGGGTGCCATTCATACAGAGAAGAATAAAAGCAGGAGTACAGTTGTAGGCTAGTAATGTTAAATAAATGCTTGCCCCTGCTTAACCACCCCCCTCACCCCAAAAAGCTCATTAGTTGATCTTAGCCGTCTCACTTTTTCTTTTTCGTTTTTCACTTGAACATTCAGCCTTATCTATTTTTATCCTATTTAATGATCATTTTCTATGTTGTAAAGAAATTGTATGTGCTTAGTTAAATCGTCTTGCCGATGCCAGTATTATACTCATTAGTTAAGTTATATGTTTAATGGTGGTCATTTTTATAAGCCTTTTTGGCTTCTGAGGGCTTCCTGGATTCATCGTTTTTAAATTTTGTTTACATATTAAATTTAAATGGCAAAATGATAAAAAATAAATGAATAAAAATAATAATTGACACTTATATAGTGCAATTTCTATAAAAATGCCCAATGGCACTTTACAGAAGTTCTCACCTTGAACCTTGATGGTCGTGGGGGAGGCAAACAGGAATTGTAGAAGCAAAATCCTTGGAAAGTATAAAGTTGTATACACACAGTTAAACTCTGCTTACAGACACCTTTATAGGGGATGGTTCACTTACCACCAAGTGTAAAAGTACCAAGCATGTGTGATAGAGTTATCATGATAATTATTGTGATAGGGCAATACCTACAGAAAGTGTTCATGTTAAGGTTTGTTGGTATATTTGATATTAGTTATGACTTTCACAATATTGTCCTCTGATTGTTGTTGTTGTTGTTTTTCAACTCTTGCAGGTCATTACAAGGAAGGAAAGAGGGCTTTTGTGGTGCTGTTAGTTTCTGCAGCATAGAGTTCACCTTGAAGCACGGTTCCTTGAGCTTTTGACTTCACATTTTATGGGTGACATTGTTCCATGCCCATTTTGTTTTACACAGAGCTAAGAGCTGAATAGTACAGGCTTGAGACGTACTCTAACTTTAACTTTTGTAGGCTCTCGGTCCATTAGTTCACAGATATGTAAAATGCTAGCAGCTGACACAAAATAATGAAAACCAGCAGGACCAAGTTGTTCAAAAGGTGGATAGTGTTTTCCTTAACCCTTTAAGTCCCAAAAGTGACCAAAATCAATTTTCTTCTAACAATATCCAGACATTGTAAAGAGGTTAGGTTATGAGAATAAATTAATAAAATGATTACCAAAGGGAAAACGCTTTGATCTTTTATCAGATTCTCTTTACACATTCTGTAAGGAAATGTATGGAGATCAGTTTGGAGAATTTGTATGTGGATATTGGCGCTTAAAGGGTTAAAAAGTATCCATTGGGTAGTGATTTGTCTAGATGCAATATTGTTGAAAAGGTGGATAACGCTATGCGCCAAATAAAACACTATCCAGGCCCCAGCTGTTCAAAAGTTGGGTAGTACTATCTTCTGGATAAATCTCTATCCAGTGGATAGTACAGTTGGTTTCCCTAATAATTGATTTATCCGATGGATAGTGCTATTAATTAAGTTTTTGAACAACTGGTGCCAGGTGGATAACACAATTGTTTTCCCTTATACCTATCCACTAGATAATCTACAGGATAACACTATGCAACATTTGAATCATTCCCCAAATGAATAACTGCAGTCTGAACACTGTTGTTCATATAAATACCATTATCTATGCATGTTAATGCTTATACTGGGATGTCAGCAACTTTCAGTCATTAGGTGGTATCATGGCTAAGAGCAGACAGACTGTCTTAGGAGCCGCACTGGCATTTGTCATCATTACTGATATCAATAATGTCAAGGAAGTAATGCATCCTCCCCGTTCCATTCTGAAGGCTGGAGCCTCAGATAACATTTTTCGTTCTGACAAGCTATGATGTTAATAAATTATACTGACTTAACATTATTTTATTGTGATGGCTTGGCAAGTTTCAAATTGCATTGAACAAGTCTAAACTAAATATAAATGGCCTTTTGTGTTGGTATAAAAAGCTACAGGTACCTTTTGAGTGAAGAAAATTTTGTTTAGAGGATTTTCATACACAAGAAAATATTTTTGTAAATGGTGACTACACTGGAGCATTTTTGTGGGACGTTCTTACACTGCAGACTACCTGCCCAGCCAAGTGAGGTGACATGTGAGGTTGTCTCTCTGGAGGTAGCAAGACAATGCGACTCTGTTTTCTTACTGTCGGAGCTTTTCATGTGAAGATATAATCCATGTATTTACCATGAATATTTTTTCAGGACTGTTCAACCCATGGAATACATGGGTAACAGCTACTTTGTGCTAAAGAACCAAGTCATCAAAGCTGAAAGGAGAATGCTGAAGGTTAGTGGTTGTCATTGTTGCCATAATAAAGCCCTGTTGCTAAGGAAAACTGCCAATGCAGTGTTGTATGTATGACTGGCTGTACACCCTCTTAGCTGTTCTGTTAAGAGAGTGCATGGCAATTATTATTTGATAGCTTGATGTAAAGAAATTTTTTTTTTCAGGAACTTGGGTTTTGTGTCCATGTCAAGCACCCTCACAAGGTATGAGTGTGGTTACCTTTTGTGATGCATATTTACCATAAATGGGGTTGGTTGTGTTGCTTTCTTGTCAACCCTTTGACCCTTTAAGCCACCCCCAAATTCTCAGACTGGTCTCCATACATTTCTTTTAAGAATAGTTGAGAGAATTTGGTTTAATATCAAAGCATTCTCTCTTTGTTAATCAATTTAGTAATTCTCATAACCTTTTACCCTTGACGATCTGTTGATATTGTTAGGAGAAAATTGATGTTGGTCAATCTTGGGACCTAAAGGGTTAACTCCTAATGGTGGCTAAAGAGAGAAAATTGTTTTGTTAACTCCTTGTACAAAATGCAAAAGTTCTGGCAGTTTCATGCACCATAAGAGTTCATCCTCAGATTTAAAAGATAGATAGCCTGCTAGCAAGCAATCCAGGGCACACTGGCAGCAGGGCTGGAAAAGGAAGGAGAGCTTGCAACTACATCTCTGGAATTTCAATTCCACCTGTGGCTCTCCGTGGACTGAGCTGTCACATTTCCGCTAATCAGCGCAAACCGGAAATAAGCGCAAAAGTAAACAAACACTGAAAAACACATGCCAAGGGTAATGACATCATAACCAATGTCATCTCCTCCAATCAGCGTTTCGCATCAACTTTTTCAATGCAGTTATTCAAATTCCAGAGACGTAGTTGCAAGCTCTCCTTCTTTTTCTTGGAGAGCTTGCTCGCAGGCTAAAAGATAGAGTGACTTATTATCTCTCCATGACATGTTCTGGGAGTGGAAGGGTGATAATTACATAATCTTTGTCTGGTTTGGTGATACAACAGAACCTCTTGTTAGCAACCACCCAAGGTTTATTTCTGGCTTAGGAGAGGTTCAGACCATTAAAAAAAAGCTCTATATTAATTTGAGGATAGATTTGTCAATGAATTATTGTAAAGTGCTATGTAAATGGTGCTGTAGAAGTTCTGAAACTATTATCATTATTATTGTTATTATTGTTCAGTGTTAGTAAATTTTATTGATGAGTGGAGTCAGTGTGACTTTTGCTTCACAAATTTTGGGGTCATTTTGGAATATTTGGAGTCAAGTATCAGACTTTCCAGCACGCGGTCCCGGCATGTATACACTATCGTGAGGGATACACGAAGTAGCTGTGGCGGTCCGCTGACTTGGAAAGCTCAAATCCATGGTGGCGGTCATTGAGTAAACTTTGATCGTAATTTACCCTCTTCCTGTTTTGTCGTGGAGTATAATTCTTTAATTTCGATGATTTAATTAAGGTTTACAACGTTTACAATTAACGTAAATTGTATTTGTTGCGAAAAAGGTAAGGATAAAACTGTGTTTGTTACCGAAAATTTCTGGAGTCGAAGTGGCTCCCTGTTTGTTACCGAAAATTTTTGGAGTCAAAGTGACTCCCTCCGTAACCTCAGTGGAGTCATCTGAACAATTTTGGCGTAAAATACGCCAAATTTGGCGTATTTGTGAACCCTGTATTGTTAATTATTATCATCAATGTATTTAGTTCAAAAATACTTGAAGACAAGTTATTTTTTTACATCATATTAAAATCGCTTTGCAGTGCACAAAATAAAATTCAAAAACATGCTTTTCCATTTGTCTGCAGATCATTATCATGTATCTTCAAATTCTTGAAAGTCAAACCAACACGCTTTTGGCTCAGCAAGCCTGGTATGTACTAAAACATCATTTGTTGTACTTTACTAATCTGTTGAACAAATGATGGCAACCTTCATTTTCTCTGGAATTAAAGGTTGTAGCTCTGTCGGTAAACAAATAATTACAGTTTACAGTTTTTACAATTGAATAGCTGTCATTCTTTGTCATTATTACGCCCACTGTATCAACTTGGCCAACAAAACAAACACTTGCTCCTTCCCTATGTTGTTTTAAACTCTTGTCATTGTAGTTTATGCCTTTTGTCAGTGGCCTGGACTGGAAATCTACATTATTCTTTGTCCTCTCAGTTAACTGTGAGAGTGCTAGTCCTTATCGAAATTCAAGATTTTAAGTAGCGTCGTCTTCTTTTGCAATTGCAGGAATTTCATGAATGATAGTTTTAGGACAAACATTTTTGTACGCTACCCTCCAGAGACAATAGCCTGTGCGTGCATTTTCCTTTCTGCAAGACAGCTTGGGGTATGTATCAGAATTGATTATGAAGTATAAGTTAATTATTATAAGCATCACTGCTATGATGTGCTGTTTTGTTACAAATAATTAAATTTATAATGTTGAAATGGATTAAGGCAATTAAGGAGTAATGTTTTAAGGTGCTAGAATGTGACCATCTGTACCATATATGGCAGGTTTTCAAAAAGGAAATGGGAAGCAAATAAACCTTTTCAGCTTTTATGTTTTGTTTTCCCATTTCAGAGCACATGATGGTACCCCATGTGCATCCATATGCATATGTATGCATAATATATGAAATGACAAAAGAGAACAATCACATGGTCTGAATTGGGAAAACAAAACGTACAAGCTAAAAAGGTTTATTCTGGGAATTCTGCATTTGTAGCACGCCCAAGTTGTGTTGTGTTGTTAACAGTGACCTAATGAGAACTACTCTGGCCTGGGCAGGCATATTAATTTTCACTTACTGGAGTACAGTCAAACCTGTATTAAGCAGACCTCAATTAAGTGGTCACTTACCAAAGACACAGAAACCATTTCCATTAATTACTGCAGAACTGACCCATGTTATGCGGTCACCTTTATTAAGTGGTCGTGGTCACCTTTTCCTAGGTCCCAACAAATTATGTTGTATTGTCTTCACCTCTATAGACCTTTGTCAAGTGGCAACCATTGCTGTGCAGAAACAAAGCTTTTTCAATCTCCTGAGACAAAACAGCCACTGCGTGACAAATGTGTATTAAACGGTCACTTTGAGAAGATGTACCATAACAGTGCATAACTGTGTATGGCATCAAGTGGTCTTAACTTTTTTTCTCTTGTTCCAAGAAGATGTGGAAAAAGTAATGGTCAATTTGTCATGGGATACCGGTAGATATTTTATCCTTTGACTACCTTCATTTTCCATAATAACTCTCACATTTGTCAAACCTGGATTAAACAGTCAACCTGTATTAAGCGGTCAGTAAGCCATTCCCAAAGGGTTACCACTTAATACAGGTTTGGCTGTAATTGTGACTACAGTTACAAAACTTGGGGACTTGGCTTTGCATCAAAAAAGTACAATGTTACATATTTTATTGAAGTCCTTGCTTGCTAAACCAGAAGTCCAAATCAATAACACTGATTGAGTATTACGGTAGAAGTTTTGTTATTGAAACAAATTGACTTGCATGTATTAACAGTGTGGAACCTTGATGCTAACTCAGTTTCCATTGTAGATTTGCTTACCGACAAGACCGCCATGGTGGGAGTTGTTTGGTGCCAAAATAGAAGATCTTGAGGTATGTTGTTTTGACAATCATTAATTTATGAATTACATGCACTGTTACATGTTACATTGTAAGTATTGTACACCAAAAACATTTTTCTTTATTTCTAAAAAACAACTAATGCTTTTCAAAAGTATTGCCAAAGAGTGGTGTTGCGTTTTTGTCCACAGACTCAAAAATAAGCTTAATTTTACGTTTTAATATCTCCTATGCTGAGAGTAAAAAGTTGAGGTGTCTGATAGTTCCAAGACTCAATGTGTTGACCAATTTGTTTTCCTGACACGACACTGACGATAACAAACTGATGTGTGACTTATTTCCTTTTAAGACCTCGATTTCCTTTTGTCAGAGCTGACTGGCCAGACCATTTCAATCATAATGAGAATTTCACTTTTAATCAAAACTGTCCAGTCAGATCAGTCAGATCCCAAATAGCATGCATTAAGGAAATGGTGTTTCAACAAAAACTCTTGGAGAAAAAAGCATGTTTCATTGTCAAAATGACTTGTCCAGCTATGGTACGGCCAGCCAGTTCTGACTTTTGGAAGGTGTCCTTGGTAGAAAATTAGTCCATGTACTTTTCTGCGTTAAATGTGTAAACAACAACTTTGTTTTGTTCTACCTGATTTTTTTACAGGAAATTAGCCTGATGCTATTAAGTTTGTACCTGAGACCAAAGGTGAATATTTAGTTGAACTCTACTGTTTTCATTCAAACTTAAGGTAGACTTTCCTAAAGTCAGTGCTGCTTCAGTTCTGTGGAAATCACTTTGTTTAGATTTAGTTGCTAACTGAGAAAAAATCCAATTGAATGAATCCATTCTGTTATCCTCCTAGTTCAGTTTAATGGAGCGGGACTGTTAGTTTTCATCATTAGAGTTTTATCTGTAACTTCGTGAGTACAGTCGAACCTCCACTAACAGCCGCCTTTCTACAACGGCCACTTTCTTCTGTCCCCAAGGTGGCCGTTTTGGAGAGGTTCAACTGTAATCATTTGTTGTCGGCTGGGATGGAAATAACTTTGTTCTTTTAAATAATATTCCTGATCAGAGAATCCGAATTTAGGTTGTTTCAAAAGAATGCCCTTTTTCAAAATATTTTGTTGTTCTGCTGGAACCAGGTGGCCTTAAACCATTACATTCTGAAAGCGACCAGAATCTAAAATTTCTCTTCAACATTACATCACTTCCTATTCAAACAAAAATAGAAAAATCTTAAAGGAGGTGACCATCCAAGTTAAAATTAATGCCCTTATTGTTAAGTGAATTCCATTCCTCAGCTACATCAGAAACATCAGAAAAACAGCATCTAGAGGAAAGGTCTCTTGCCTTGAGACAATCAGGGGTAAACTGGGAATAAATATGTCAAATTTGTGAACGCTTTTCCGGTGTTGTGTGTAAACCAATCATATGTCTTGAAGTTGCAAGGTAATTCATAAGCGAATTGAAGTTTTTAAATTGTAATGGACAATCTTTAGTTAGTTTATCTTAAAATTCTCGCCTATGAATCATAGTTTTTGATTGATATTTGTTTTGGTTTTTCTTTTTCTGTGGGCCATGTGTAGATTATCGAGATAAAAATTAGTAGTAGTAGTAGCAGTGGTAGTGGTAGCGGTAGTAATCCATCAGTTTCCCTTATCATAGGCCAACCTAGACACCCTACAGAAATCTGTTGGAGAAATTCGCAAAGAATTGGAGCAGAAAAAGAAAGAAACTAAACAAGATGGTGCTGGCACCGTTGGTAACTCCACTCCTAACCTGTCTCCTGTGGGGGTAACTACAACAACTGCAAGGGACGACTCCCGGTCAGGTATGTACTGTCATCTACTTCATTAAAACTGGATACTTTTTTGACGATTCACGGGGCATTGTCACTGAGTCGGGTACACAGCTACGCGTTCTTTGTGTCGTCATGCAACGCTCCTCTTGTGGAAAGGAACGTTGCGTGACGACACAAAGAACGGCTGTGTTGCAGACTAATTGTCACAGGGATTCTCTCAATCTTTTAAGAGTGATCAGGATCAAAATTCTTCTTGTGATATCAGTGCTTTATAAAACACTTAGGTGGCGAGAATTAATGACTTGATCACATAAGGTGAATCTAGTTGATTCTTGGACACCTCCCTACTACTTTATTATGAAACTTGTTGGGACAGCAAATCAAAATTTGAATTATGGTAGTAGTGTTTAATGGACATAGGCCATGTTGGAGTTGCCCAAACCTTTGCTGAAAACTCGGAAGTGGCTTTTTTGTTCATTGTTCACTCCCAGTTAATTTGCTTTTTTGCTCATTGATAAAAGCACTGCACCTGTGTTGCAAAGGTCCTGTGTTCAAATGAGTCATGGGTTTTCGCAACTGCTTTAGTTTTGTTCATAACTTCGGTGACCTTTCACGTCTTAAACCTCCCTCCTGCTGTTCAATTATGTGAAATCCATATATTATTCACTTTTATAACAGCTAATGCAGAAAGTCAAGGGGACCTACCAGATCTTGTAGCAAACACATGTGGCCTGATCTATGGGATAAGTTGTACAATTTTGGATCGTGGCAGTTATGACATAAGATTTTTAACCTTACAGCCACCTTTCCTGTAGCCCATGTTGCAGGCGTGGAAAGGGGTAGGGGATTGGGAGAAAGGGAAAAGGAAGGAGGACTGGGGTGAGGGTGATCCTTTTTCCCTTTCGTACTTTTCTCCATTTTCCACTTTCCCTCCCCACCCCTATTTGCGCCCGCTGCACAGGCTACCATCCACCCTAAATCAATTACTTTTAACGTGAAATCAGGTTCGAGGCCTTCTTCACCAAGTAAAGTGTCGCCATCATCTGCTACAAACCAAGCTGACGGGAAAAAGAAGAAAAGTTCCTCTAAGGTGGACGAGGATAGGAGGACGAGAGAACGGTAAATAAACTTTGTTTTTCTCTAATTATGATGCAAGCATTATTAACCCTTATGCCCGTGATGTTATTGTGGAAAAGAAGGTATCGTGAAACTCCTACCCTTCAGTTGGGGCCAATTCATTGTAGCCGTGTAAACTAGCAACTGGATTTACGTTTTCTTGCGTTGTTTCGTTATTGTCAAGTGGTTGCCATGACATGACATGACATGTTCTCTATGCTGTCTTTCGTACATTTCTTTTAGTTTTAATCAGGAGAATTTGTTTTCATGTCCTTTATTTGATCAGCAGTGATCTTTTTACGCGGCGGAGAAATTAGGTAATGGAGGCGCTTCAAGATTTAAGTGGAGCTTTCGACTCGTTGTTGTCTGGTTATGGATTTGCATGTTTAGAGTACGTTTTTAATTTATTTTTGTCTAATCTGCAGGGAAAGGCGCCGCAGTCATTCCCCGGTCAATCGCCGCTCTCGGAGCCGTTCGGAAAGTCCAACACGTAGTCGCTCTCGGAGCCGATCGAGAAGTTACAGCATATCAATCAGTCCCGACAATCCCAGTAGGAGTGACTCTTACAGCAGCGACGAAAGCCCAGACAGGCAAAAAGTAACTGGGAAGAGTAAACGACCACGGAGCCCTGCCCGAGGAAGGGACGACGAAAAGCGCGCTCGGCCTCGGAAGTACGACGGAGAGTACGTTCGGAAAAAGGGGAGAACCGACGGAAGTGTGAACAGTTATAAAAAGGACAAAGCGCGGGAACGAAGTAGGTCGCCGTTGTCTCGGAGCCGGAGTAGATCTCGTAGCAGAAGCCGAAGCCCGACAAGACTCAAACGGCATCGTGGAAAATACGAGCGGGAAACGAAGAAACGAGATGACAGACATCGCGATCGGAATGGAGTGGACTATCGTTCGTCCAGGGACAAGGGACGTGATCACGGAAGGCACCGAAGATAACGCTAGTGAAATTTTTGTAAGTTTCTGTACATAAACTTCCCAGGTGGAAGAACTAAATCAAATAGCAAATTACAGCAAGTGCTTGTTTGAAAAACGCCTCATTTATATGTCCATTGTATTATGTGTGATATGTTGCGTTTTGTAAGAGTTCATTTATAAGCTTCTCAGCCGCTTACCTTGTACAAGGCGTCAAGGCTATTAATCCGTTTATTAAAGAAAGTTACTGCTTTGTAAAATTCCTTTGTTGAATGTATTGTGTTCAGCTTTTATCGTACCTTTTTGTAGAGTGAAACTTATCAAAGTCACTTGCTTTATAGCTTGTACACAGACGTTGTTTTATTTTTGTTGTCGCGATTCGATAATCGGTGAGCACGAGACGAAGAAAAATAAAGAACGTCTATTAAATTTTTCTTCTTCCCCCACCCCTATCCCCGTGCGCTAGGGGTCAATAAATCCCCTGCGGTTTTTATTTTTATCATGCCCACAATACGGACTTGAGAAAATAGGGGTCTGTGAACAGGCTACGTGCTTTGCCCCTTACACCTGAGAGGCCCCAAGAAAGACCCCCCCCCCACCACCGGCGTCTTTTAAGCCCCAACCCCTGATATATGGTAAGAGCAACATGTATTAGCGATATTTACTGACGAACTGAGAGATGTCATAACTTAATCTTCACGTTCGGTATTTACGTGTTTAAGTTCTTGAAGTTGCTGCACTTAAGCCCCCAAACTCCTGTCCGAAACCTCGGAATCCCCAGGGGTAAAACGAAAATGTGCCCTACGAGGTAGTTTTTGTTATGTAAGGAGTCCTTCATGCCGCTGACATTCGCGTAGATGGTTTTTTTAAGGAAGTCAACTACGCGATGTCATCGGCGCGAACGACTTCGCACCGCGTGTCAAAAGCCATGCGGGAACAAGGGTATTCAAACTTATGGTGGCAGCTGTACCTTTAAACACGTTATTTAACAATTATTATTCCTCGAGCCCGAGTGGGCTCTGAGTCAATAGCCCATGAGGCCGAAGACCGAATGGGCTATTGATTCAGAGGCCATTCGGGAAAGAAGAATAATTGTTTTAGTAAAATCCAACTAGTTGGTCAAAAATATCGAGACAAAACAACTTAAGCTAGTTAAAGCTAGACTTAAGTCCTTTTTTGCCACCAAAAAGCCGGCGCTTTTCGCTACTAGTGGGCTATAACATATAGCCTGGTAGTAGCTCAACCAATCAGAACGCAGCATTGATAATAGACCACTAGTTGGATTTTACTAATTACTTTTATACTTGACGTGTGCATTTAGTTCGTTACTGAACGCATTACAATTTCTTTGGGTTGTGTTCTAATTCATACACCTTGACAGTAATAGGCTACCAAAATCCATCACCGTGTTGCTTTCTTGTGCAAATTAGGTCTCCTTTCAGTTAAACCTCTCTGGGATTACCAAATTTAAATATGAAAGAAAATACGAAATGAATTCTGGTCTTAGTAGTAAAAAACGTCATCGCATTTTGGGTCTCTCCTCCTAAGGTGTTCTACAATTGGTGTAGGGTTCAAATTAATGAAGCCGAAACCAACCAAACCACATTTTAGGAAATATCCTACTGATGGACAGTTAAGGCTAAAGACATTTCTTGCAAAAACAATTTGTCGTCTGTCCCCTTTGAATTTACATAATTTTTTAAAATGATTTGCCGTAATTTTTGTCACTGATAAAGAAATACGATTTTATAATAAACGCCTCCCTAGAATAAACGTCGCATCGCATATGAGTAAAAATTTAATGAACGCCGCTGCGTTTAATCGAGAAAATACGATGGGTTAAAAATAAACGGTTAATGAGAAAGATGTCAAAGACAGCTTTCCTTTCGCAGTAAAGCATTCACCGTTTTACATTTGTTTTGTGTTCACGAATTTTCATTGACTTTGACAAGCTACTGACATGGGATCAGCTGTAAATATCCTTCATCTTGTTCATTTTCTTTGCATTACTTTCATTAAAAACTGTTTAAGGAGTTCCGTAAACTAATCTGTTTTTAGAATCCTTCTTGGCCTGAGATTCAAAATGTGGCTTTCTGGCGCAATCGAGTGGCGTCACAATTGCAATTGTGGCAATGTGCACGCGCATTAGAACGACAAGTCGCATTTTCACTGAATAATTTTTGCAGCAACCACTTGGACAAACAGCAGCATACATAGATGACTCCGGCCGGGGTTGACCAGCTCTTTTACAGACGTTGAAATTTTATTCCCGTTTATGTTAACCTAAACCAACAGTGACCTTACCTAAACAGTATTTGTTGATAAATGTATAAATAGTAAAGTGAAAATTGCTATTGAATTAAGTTGCTTTGTAAAACCGTTCATGATGTGTTCTGCGAGTTCACTCCGGCTGTGGAAGTCATTTCGCCTTCTTAACATGATGTCATATCTGAAACAACAACAAAAAATATGAAAAACATTACACAGCAGACAATGTAAACATGACGAAACTATTGCTGGTTTTCTTTGCCAAGTCAAATAATGTGAAAACTTAAGTCAGCCAGAGAGCAAACCCTTTCTTATGTGGGGAAAGGAAAGGGCGAAAGCCTTCTCTCCTTCTTCCGCACCCCACCCTCCCCCAACAGGAGGTTCATAGAGTCGAGAAAGAGACCGTTACTCTGAGGTTTTGAAATGATCAAGGATATTAGCAATATTTACGTTGCGCATGGGAATTTTGGCGACCTGACATGAAAAGGGCTAAATGGTCCTTTAGAGTTATAAAGAAGATAATATGGCCGCCGCCATATTGGAAAGCGAGAAGACCCTGGGGACGAGGTTGCCTTAAGCTGATTCGCTGGTTTTGCACTGCGCATCTCTGACATCTCTTACTGCGCGTAACAAGATGGCCGCCATGACAAAAAAAATCTGAAGTAACATTATTAAAATGAAGTTGACTTAAGAGAAGCGCTATTAGAATTTTCGCTTGCGGTTGTTTCTGGCCGAGAAGAGACTCAATGTGTTGGGAATGTGTATAAAGTAAGCAGTGCGCCTGTTGCTGAGCTCGGCTTCCAAACGGAGAACCTCAATAGTGGATGTTAAACTAGTGCTAACTCACTTTGATTTTCATTCAAGCACCATCCCTTGCGTCCTAACTGTGATATCACCATGTAAATAAAGACGACAGCATAAAAGTTATAGTGTTCACACTAAAAAAAAACAAGGTGCTTCGACACCTTGTATGTTTTCTGATTTGTACCCCTTTAGTCTAGATTCTTGTGCGTCTGAAGATCAGATAGCGATTGTCATTGAGAAGTATGTAAGCAACAAACCTTTTGCTCTTCCAGCTGATCTAATTGTGCGGCAAATGCACCTTGAAGACTTTGAAATTTGGCGAAGAATTCTCCAGGCCTATAGCGAAAAGTTGTGGACGTGCTGTCAAACAGGCCACTTTACCTTCGACATCAGTTACACTGAGAAGGGCGCCAGACTTGACGTTAAACAGTTGAACAGAACAAGGAAGATCAACAGCAATGACACACTCCTCGTCGCTGACAAACTTACAACCATCCACAGGTATTTCCAAGCCCATAATAGGCAACGTACAGCATGTGCGTCCTGAAACAGCATCCAGTACGTAGGTGGGCTCATTTGTCCACAGGACAAGAAACTTTTCGGTAGGGGAAAACACCGCACCTCTTACACTAACATAGGACACGGGACTGTACTCCTTTTTCCAAACAACTGCCATGTTATCCACCAGCTGAAGGGAATTAGAGGCACTACTGGTCAACAACTGACATCTACTGTTGCATGTAATAACTCGAGTTATTCCGTGCAAAAGTGGGACGATTGACACCATTTCTCCTCTGCCGGTGTCCAGGACTTCTACTCCACACTCCCTTACGAATGCTACTCGATCGTCCGATAACGGAGTCACATGTTTGATTCCAGGCAGGTTGTTCCATCTTTTGACGCACTCAGACAGGTGACCATCCCACAACTCTATAGTGCCACCTCCCTTTGTAATTAGAACACCTCCTCTCACAGCAACCAAACAAAAAGGCCTTTCACTCCCGAAGTTGTTCTTCTCTTCAAGCTTTCCACTTGTCATGCTCCAAGAGATAACCGACGTGTCGCTCATAACATAAACAAACTTGCCATCCGAACTGAAGGCAATCCCAGTCACTTTGCCTTGATTATTGGGAGTAAGGTTATTGGTATTCACCATTTCTATTTCCCTCCACTCGCACCGCAACAGACTTTCTTCGTTAAGAACAAAATTAAAGCTGGAAGCTTCATCTGAGAAAACAAGGTCTCCCAAAGAAAATCCGCGGTCACTACAAGACCCAAATTCCCTGTGATCGTAAGACACTTCATCGGAAGAAACATCTAAACCAAATGTTTGATAGGTCTCTCCACTGACCCTTAGACAGTACGAGCGAAGGTCTTGGATTGTTCTATTTTCTTCTATTTTGTTGGTCCAATGCCAACAAAAAAGGAATCGACGATCAGGCAAAAACCTCAACATTCCACAAATCTCTGGGGTAGTCGTCCGTGTCAGAGATTTGAAACCATCCATCGCATCGACCAAATAAATCATGCCCGTGGAATGGGAAACTGCAAGAAGCCTTTCATCATGAGACAAGGCAAACGATAAGATATCTTGATCACTCGTAAACCTAGAAATCTCTGAGCCATTTTCCAAACTCCACAAGACGAGGCATTTAGTGTTATCAAGACAGTTAGTCAGCAAAGCGGTCTTGTCTCTGGAAACTGAACAAACAGTGAAGCAGCATTCACTTTTTGGAAAAAGCGTCTTTAATTCACCGTCAATAGTATAAGCGTCACTAAGGATTCCGGGTAAAACGAGTTCTTTAGTAGGATGGAAAACCACAGAGCGATAAAGCGAAAGAACATTTGAGGACGACAGCTTTCTATGAGCCGGAAACATGAACATAACAAGATTCTTTTTTACTTTGGCTGGACGAATCCACACTAGTCTACCTGTCTGAAGAGACCACAGCTGAAGCATACCATCTGAACA